GCAGTGTGCGTCTCCCCGACGTTAGTTGGCGTGGGATCCAGTGCCTGACAGCGGAGAGGGGGGCGCAGGGACGTGGCGCGGGGGCGCGGAGTGGGCCGATTATGGGAGGGGGGCGGCGGCATGTCCGCCTGAAGGGCGGAGGAGCGCAAAGGGGTGGGGCGGGGGCGGCATGTCCGCCACGAGTTGGAAGGCGAGAAGGCTGCGCTACAAGGCGGCATATCCGCCACGAGGCGGCATATCCGCCACGACCTTGTTGTTATCCCGAGGCCGCCCCGTTGGCCTGGAGAGTTGAAGAGTCGTAGCGCGAATTGCTCGCCGCGCGCCCTGGCGGCGAGCTCCTTCTTGACCAGCTCCTCCGCCTCCGCAATGGCCCTGGCCTCGGAGCGATCGGGCGCAACGAGGCAGCAGGGGGCGGAGGGGGCGTCGAGGCAGGGGCGAAAATGAAGAGAGCGCGGAGGAGGGCGTCGAGAAGGGCGTCGGCGAGAATCTGGCCTTGTCGGCCTCATCGCCCGCGATGTACTTCAGGCTGACGTTGCTGCCAGGGACGCCGACCCTGCCGCTGCGGAACTGCACCTGGGGGCGGAGCAACGATGAACAGTCGCCTGAAAGGCGGCGGGCGCGCAAACTGCGACCCCAGCGGGGCTGCTGGGAATCGCCGCGCGCGCCCGACGCCTCATCGGTGGGAGGGTCAACCCCGCTCGCCAAGTTGCGGGTGGTCTGCATCTCCCACCTCGGCTTCGCCCACTTGCGCTGCTTGTCCTTCCCAGCCGCGCCGTCCGTCTTCTTGCCCGTGGGGAGCGGCGTCTTCTTAGCCACGTTGCCCGTGGCAGGCGGCGTCGTCTTCTTTGCCGCGTTGTCATTGCCAGGCGGCGTCGTCTTCTTAGCCGCATTGCCCGTGGCAAGCGTGGGGGCCTTCACCGCCTCGGCGTTCTTTTTCGTCTTGACCGCCTTCGTCCTCTTATCCATGGCCGCGACCATGGCCAGAGCCGCCTCCGTCGGGGTCTTCTTCAGAGAGCCTGCGGCGATGCCGACCTTCTCAGCCTGGGGCGGCGGCGTCACGGCGACGATGCCGAAGTCGGAGTCGGAGTCGAGCTCGATCGGCAGCTCATGCTTCTTCTGCTTCTTCGCCGCGCGGCTCTTGCTGATCGAGGCCGTTAGGGCGGCGGCGGTGCTCGATAACGGCTGACAGTCGGCGGGTTTGCCGCCATCGTGTGCCGCCAGTTGCTGCGTCGACGGCGCATCCGAACTCCCCGCCGCCATCGAAAGCGGGTGGTTCGAACCTGCTCGTTCTTGCAACGGCTCCTGCGGCTGCTGCGTCTGCGAGCGGTCGATCAGCTGGATGGCTGGGTTGGGCCAGCGGCCGCCGCTGCGCGAAAGCCCCACCTGAAATCAGGCGGATCACCGCCGAACGAAAATATCCCCCCCCCCCCCCCATCCCCCTAGGGGGATGGGGGGGGGGAATATTTCACAACACGCCCTCCATCCAGGCATCCAGAAACGTACCCCGCGCCGATCCAGGAACCCACCCCTCGACCCAATACCAGGTGTCCCGCGGGGGAATGCGTTTTGTTATTCCCCGTGGAGCCGTCGGCCAGCGCCCAGAGAACGAATCGGCCGCCGCGATGGGGAGGTGCTGCTGAGGAGAGCCGCCGCCTGGGCCGTGGGATGGCTGCAGCCCGCCGCGGGCGGGCGCAGGCGCGGGCAGCGCGAGGTGGCCGCTCTTCTTCCCTGCACGGAGATAAATCAGCTTCGCAATCGTCACCATCTCGACGGGATTTATCTGCGGCGCCGTCGCTCCAACACCTGGCGGGAAGGCGTCGACGTACGTGATGGGGTACTGAGACTGGAGCCTCCCAGGCGTGATGGGGAGAGCCTGGATGCCATCCCTGGCGGCGGCATCGTCGCCACGAGATTCTTGAACGAGGATTTCACTGTGGCCAGATATGACTGCAACAGCTCCCTCGTGATCTCGCCCGTCTCCACGCCTGTCTGCTTGCACACCAGCAACAAGAATGCTGCCATATTGGCGGCCGTCGGGCAGCTCGGACGCCTCAGGCCAAGCGCCCCGAGGTGCTCTGAGAACGCCGCCATCTTGGCAGTGAAGCCCGAATGCGGCGAGAGCACGAACTCCCACAACTGAGGCGTCAGAAATTCAATGAACCCCTCGTAGTTCTGGAGCTTCCCCCCCTGCAGGCTGCCCGACGACAGAGCCTGCAAGAAGTCTCCCAGCTCGGACTGCGCCCACCCCACGCCACCGCCCAAAGCAGCAAACTGCGCACTCTGGAGCTGCGACCAGCGCTGGGACGTCGCCGCCTGGATGCAGGCAGGAAGGTGCTCCGTCGCACTGCCGCGCGCTACGAACGCCGCCCGCGCCTCCTCCAGGCGGCCTCGTAGGATGCCCTCCATGGCAGCGATGCGGCGCGACCGCGCGCCGAGCGGAGTGCGCGACTCCCCGCGCGCGCACGCCGCCCGAAGCCCTCGGAGGAGGGCTCGCCAAAAACGGATCGAGCCAACGCGCGTGCGACGGACATATCCTACTCCTGCTCTTCCTGCTCCTCCTCCTCCTCCCCCTCCTCCTCCTCCTCCTCCTCCCCCCCCTCCTCCCCCTCCTCCCCCTCCTCCTCCTCCTCCTTCTCCTCTTCCTCCTCTCCCTCCTCCTCCTCCTCCTCCTGGGTGAGGGGGGGCGCAGGGGGGGGAGGGTGTCGAAGGGGGGGCGGGGGAGGGGGTGCCGAAGGGTGCGCGGGGGGGAAGAAGAGAGCTATGGGGGAGGGTGGGTCAAGGAGAGGCCAGGGAGGGGAGGGGGGAAAGGGGTGGGCGGCTTGCCGCCGAGGGGGTGGAAGGAGGCGGCAAAGCAAGCCGCCGATAGGGCGGTTGTGAAGAAGCGGTTTCCCGCCACGAGGAGGAGAAGGCGGTTTGCCGCCAGAGGAGGAGTAGGCGGTTTGCCCCCAGAAGGGGTAGGCGGTTTGCCGCCAGAGGAGGAGAAGGCGGTTTGCCGCCAGAAGGGGTAGGCGGTTTGCCGCCAAAGGAGGAGAAAGCGGTTTGCCGCCAGAAGGGCGGGTTGCCGCCACGGAGGGGGAGAAGGCGGATTGCCGCCATGGGGGGGGGAGAAGGCGGATTACCGCCGACGGAGGACGAGGCGACGGAGGAGAAGGCGGTGCGCCGCCTAAGGAAAGGGGGGAGAAGGGAGGGCCGAAGACACATGGATAAACATTTTCCTCCTTCCCTCCCCCCTCCCCGCGGGCATGCGCGCAGCCCGCAGCGCCGCGGCCGCGAGGTTCAGCAAGTACCTGCGGCGCCTCGGTCCTGAACAACTGAACAACAACAACAACGGAAATTCAATGGATTTCAAAAAAGTTAAGAATAAAAAATACGCAAATGATTAGCAAAAACACGAATATGTTCAGCCCCATCGACTTAGCAGAGATATCTAACTTAGTATATTACTTACATCTACACTTACCAACACCATAAGTATTGCATATGCACACATGAGATGCGCGATCAACAAGTGTACGTTCTATGGCTTAACTAAGATTATGTAAGATGAACGCTCTTACCGCACTCACAGCCACCCGACGATCAAAGGGCCGCTCTGGGCTCCTCTGGGCACCTCCCCCGGGGCCGGTTTTGTGAGGATGTCTCAAGCGAGGGCGCCGGTTTGGGATTCGTCACCGGATCCACCGGATCTGTCCGGAAACGGTGCCGGAGGCCGCTCTGGGCTCCTCAGGGCACCTCCCCCGGGGCCGGTTTTGTGAGGATGTCTCAAGCGAGGGCGCCGGTTTGGGATTCGTCACCGGATCCAGCGGATCCAGCGGATCCACCGGATCTGTCCGGAAACGGTGCCGGAGGCCGCTCTGGACTCCTCTGGGCACCTCCCCCGGGGCCGGTTTTGTGAGGATGTCTCAAGCGAGGGCGCTGGTTTGGGATTCGTCACCGGATCCACCGGCTCTGTCCGGAAACGGTGCCGGAGGCCGCTCTGGGCTCCTCTGGGCACCTCCCCCGGGGCCGGTTTTGTGAGGATGTCTCAAGCGAGGGCGCCGGTTTGGGATTCGTCACCGGATCCAGCGGATCCAGCGGATCCACCGGATCTGTCCGGAAACGGTGCCGGAGGCCGCTCTGGGCTCCTCTGGGCACCACCCCCGGGGCCGGTTTTGTGAGGATGTCTCAAGCGAGGGCGCCGGTTTGGGATTCGTCACCGGATCCAGCGGATCCAGCGGATCCACCGGATCTGTCCGGAAACGGTGCCGGAGGCCGCTCTGGGCTCCTCTGGGCACCTCCCCCGGGGCCGGTTTTGTGAGGATGTCTCAAGCGAGGGCGCCGGTTTGGGAGTCGTCACCGGATCCACCGGATCTGTCCGGAAACGGTGCCGGAGGCCGCTCTGGGCTCCTCTGGGCACCTCCCCCGGGGCCGGTTTTGTGAGGATGTCTCAAGCGAGGCGCCGGTTTGGGATTCGTCACCGGATCCACCGGATCTGTCCGGAAACGGTGCCGGAGGCCGCTCTGGGCCCCTCTGGGCACCTCCCCCGGGGCCGGTTTTGAGAGGATGTCTCAAGCGAGGGCGCCGGTTTGGGATTCGTCACCGGATCCACCGGATCTGTCCGGAAACGGTGCCGGAGGCCGCTCTGGGCCCCTCTGGGCACCTCCCCCGGGGCCGGTTTTGTGAGGATGTCTCAATCGAGGGCGCCTGTTTGGGATTCGTCACCGGATCCACCGGATCTGTCGGGAAACGGTGCCGGAGGCCGCTCTGGGCTCCTCTGGGCACCTCCCCCGGGGCCGGTTTTGTGAGGATGTCTCAAGCGAGGGCGCCGGTTTGGGATTCGTCACCGGATCCACCGGATCTGTCCGGAAACGGTGCCGGAGGCCGCTCTGGGCTCGTGCTCTTCGCGCCGGGGGTGAGGATGACGTGAGTTCCACAGAAACTCCCTCAAATTACGCGAACCATCTTCAGGCAAGTGGACCGCAGCCGCGCCACCCTTGACTCTGACATCACCCAGGATGCACAACCATATACGATAGTGGGGCTTACCACAGCGTGGAACAACTTCAATCGCAAGGACAAAAGCACGGCCTTGTCGATGAGCTCGCCGCGGTACACGCCAAACTTCAAACGCGCCTTCCGGATCCGCTGGGTGAGCTCTGAATCGTGCGAGTCGGTGAGTGGGAGGGCCCTGCCGAGGTACGTGGCGCGCTCTCCCTTTGGTCCAGAACTTCGATCTCCATACCTGCCACCGTCGTTTTCTTGACGCGGCTGCCATATCCTATGTTATTGTGCTGGATATTCGTCTTAGCAGCTCGATGCCAGCATCTGCTTCTTCAAAATTCAGGCCCGAGGGTCCCAAAAGTGATGACAGTTACAAGATCAGGGTGGCCCGTTCCAATTACCAACATGAAGTGCGGGTTCCAGAAGGAGGGGGGTTCCGCCTGACACTTCCTCGCATTTCACTCACAGACGAGGCCGCGATTGGTCGATAATCATGATGGCATGGTGATGATGGTGGCGATGGTGGTATGCGCTGCAGATGGCCGATGATCATGATGAGCTCATGCCATGATGACGACTGAGTGATGGGTGAATGTGAGTGAGTGAGAGAGTGACTGAGTGAGGAAGTGAGTGGGTGAGTGATGCTGATGATGATGATAACTGTGGAAGGACAAGAGACGGAAGAGGGTGAGAGGCACTGCTCCTGAGCAAGGGTGCGAAGAGAAAACAAGAAACCCACTTAGGATGCGGGGAACAAATAAACACAAATCCCAGGATCCCCACAACTTCTCATATGTTCTTGATGTTCGTCTCCCCCTCCACTTCCCATATTCCCCATGTCTTTCTGTGTCAACTTTTCTCCTGACTGTAACGCGGCGGCGCTGGCCTTGTTGCCCAGGGGCGGGCCCATGTCCACCGGCAGCAGCAGCGAGCGGCCTCGGAGATGGCGCCGGCGCTGGGATGGACGGCGGCGGCCGCGGCGACTTTTCTCAACGACGAAGGCGGCGACGACGAGGATCGGCGACAAGCGACGCATGGCGTCGACGACGACGAGCCACGGCTCCGGAGACGAGGATCGAGGACGAGCGACGACGACGACGACGACGACGACACGACACGACGACGACGAAGACGACGAGCGCCTACGACCAGCGACGAGCGGCTACGAGCGACGACCGACGACAACGACGACGACAACGGCGACGACGGCGAGGACGACGAGCGACGACGGCGACAACCAGGGGTTCGGCAGAGCCCATGCGCGGTCAGACGTCCGCAGGTCACCGCATCCCGCTTCTCCTCCTCCTCCTCCTCCTCGTCCTCATCCTCTTACTCCTCCCTCCTCCTCCTCCCTCCTCCTCCTCCCTCCTCCTCCTCCCTCCTCCTCCCTCCTCACCTCCTCCTCCTCCTCCTCCTTAAACTGTCTGCCTGTGCTAGAGACGCCCGTCCGATCCGCTCATTTAATACAAACATCTTCTAGTGTGCCGTTTGTTTCCCGCGCGGTATGGCCAAAGAGAGACCGGCACGGAGCTTGTACAAAGATTTCTCGGCCCGAGCGTCACCCCTGGGGGGGTCGACGCACACACATGGTATTAGCATGTTGGGGTGGTGCCCATCCCTCTTCTGTACCCATTCCTCATTTTCAGCACCACCCTCCTCCTCCTCTTCGTGGCTACGATCCCGATCAAGATCCCGAACATTCTCCTGCACGTGCTCACGCTCCATCCCCTGCTCTTGCTGCTGATCATGTGCTGCGTCCACCCCAAACTAAGATTGGTCCGGCTGCTCATCCTCTTGATCAACATCCTGGTCCGCCTACTACGTTCGTTTGTGCTCCCTCCTCCTCCTCCTCCTCTTCCTTCCCGATCTACTCCTCCTGCTTCCTCCTCCAACTCTTCCACCTCATCATCATCATCATCATCATCATCATCATCATCATCATCATCATCATCATCATCATCATCATCATCATCATCATCATCATCATCATCATCGTCAGCGTCATCATCAGCATCATCATCATCATCATCATCATCATCATCATCATCATCATCATCTTACCACCTCCTCCTCAACCTCCTCCTCCTCCTACTCCTACTCTTGCTCCGCCAGCAATGGCAGCCGGAAATTGCTGAGAGTATCCATCCGAATTGCCCGAGGGCAAACCGGGAGGAGGAGGCAAGGGGGGGAAGGAACATAATGAAGATGAGGGCGGAGGGGGGGAGGAGGATTACACGTCTTTCGGGTGACCGATGACAGACAAAAACAGCTTGAAACGCATTAGGGTCTAAAGGTTCGAAGGGCTATGATGTGCACGACGTCGAAGCTGACCTTAAATGAAGACGGAGGAGGAGGAGGAGGAGGAGGAGGAGGAGGAGGAGGAGGAGGAGGAGGGGAAGTAGGAGGAGATGAGAAGAGAGGAAGGGAGGAGGGAGGAGGAAGAGGGAAGGAGGATCTGTTGGTCCGAAGAAAAAACAAAACTGTTTGGCGGGGCGCCCATCAAACCCTCCGGCTGCACACGGGCAGGAGGTCGACATCCCTGCCGATCGCCCGCGGCAGGGCGCCCCGCCACGCTGCCGACTGTGCCGCCGCCGCCGGCGCGGCCGGAGGCGGCACCCGAGAAGGCGGGGCCGCTCGGGCCGCTCCCGCCTCCTGCTGGCAGGGTGGCCTGCGCGGCCGTCGAGGCGCTCCGTGCCTCCAGGGGCCGGGCCGCGAGGGCCACGAGCGAGACGCGGGGGGGGGGGAAGCCTCGGTGGAGCCTGGAGAGACTCCCCAGTCCTTCGTGCGGCGCCACGCTTGGACAGTCATCGGCCGGCTTGGGCAGCACGTGCTGCCGTGTCGCCACGGGGTGGGACGGGTACCCGATGCGCCGATGCGGCCTACGATGATGCACCGGCCGCGGAACGGGAAGACAGAGGCGACGCCCGAGAAGCGTTTGGCCAGATCGAGCGGCTTGCAGGGGGTGTCCGCCGCCTCCAACACGGCAGCATGATCAGACAACTGGTTACAAACAGCTGGTCACAACAAGGGGAGGAGGAGAAGGAGGAGGAGGGGCAGGAGGAGAGGGAGGAAGGAGTAGAAGGGGGAGGGGGAGGAGAGAGGAGGAAGATGAGGAGGGGGGAGAAAGAGAAGGCGGAGGCAAGCTAGGCGTGCTCGCGCCATATCTGCCATCCGAACCCCTTCCTATTGTATTGCTATTCGTCGATGTCCGACCTCAAGTGTCATCGCGGACCTGGACCTCTCGAAAGTAACTAGTCGTGACACACGGGTTGTATGCACTGGAGGAGGTGGAGAAGGAGGTGGCGGATGCGCAGGAGGATGAGCAGGAAAATGAGCAGGAGGATTGGCAGGAGGATGAGGACGGAGGTAAAAATGTAAAGGCGCTTAGGGGGCGTCGTGTCAAGCAGCAGCAGCGGCGGCAGCACAACACTTGTGGATGTCCCTGCGAGACAATATGGATGCAGGGCCTACGCTTGGTGCCGTAGGCCTGCCTGGGGCGCACCCCTCTGGTGCACGACGAGGGGGGGGCCCCGTGCAGGGAGCGCTATCGCGTCCTGCTCTCAATCTCGGGAGTGGGGTACAGGCTACCTGGCTAGCAACGTGCACCCCCTCCAAGGCAAGGGGCATGGAGGACATGCACGAGACAGACAACACACAACGCACACTCCCCACACACTCACACACACAACCCGAGGGGAGGAGATGGGAGGGCCGCCGCGGGGCGCCTGCCTCCTGCGGCGGCGCTCTCTCTGTCTCCCTCCCGCGCGCCGCTCCCGCCTTCGCCGCGGTCGTGCCGTCGACGGTTGCGGGCGCGCGGGGCGGCGCGAGACGAGACGACCCCCCCCCTGGCCCTCCGCCCCACTCCTCCAAACTCCTCGAATCCTAAAAAAAAGAACACTAGACGGGGTGGTACAGAAACTGTTTGCCTGTGGGGGATCACGCCTCTAGGTGAGTCTAGCGGTGATTGAAGCTGACAGTCTGTCCCCATCAGTAGTGGAGCTGACCAGTAGTCGTGTCATCACAATCACAATCCATAGTGGCATGGCATGTTGTTTCCGTGGTCCCCACATGACTAGATCTCTCTCTCTCTCTCTCTCTCTCTCTTTCTCTCTCTCTCTCTCTCTCTCTCTCTCTCTCTTGCGATCGCCAGCCTCTCAACGGTCAATGGCAATGCGAAAATGCAATGGAGCTGCGCATACGGCCGCTCAGTGACGATGTGCCTCTCTTCCTCACTCACTCCTTTCGAAGGCTGGTCCTCCTCTGACTCTGGGATCGGCACGTTGCACCCGTCGCTCGATGATGCTGCCGTCGCTTCACTCTGTGGGGTTACTTCCTCTGGCGTCTCTGGCTTGGAGCTCTTACCCTCTTTGTAGTCGACCCACTTCTTAGGCTCCCTCCACCCGTAGAACGTCCAGGTCTTCGGGTCGTCCTTGTTCCACACTGGGATTTCTCCTTTTGGCGGCGTCCACCCGTAGAAGATCCACGAGCTCGGGTCGTCCGCCCTCCACGGTGGGATGGTGCCGTTGTTCGCCCCCTTCGCCTCGAACATGGCTCTATTCACCTTCTGCGTCATGGCCAGGCCCTGCAAGTCCTCCTTCTCGTCGTGCTGGAGCTTGCTGTACTCCTTTGTCGATGCCATCTGCAAGGGTGTGCCGTACTTCCATGCCAATGACCCGTGCGCTGTGATGAGCGCGCTCGTGGTCTCGTCGATGCTCTTGATCTGGTCGGCCAGGGTCTGAGTGTTCTCCGCCAGCATGAACGCTCCCTCCGCCGTCGTGTTGTTCACCTGCTGGCTGCGCGCCAGGTTCTGACTCAGCACCTTCTTCTGGGCAATCAGCACCTCGATCTGCATCTCGAGCTTCTTCTTGAGGTCCGCCATCGTGCCCACACACTTCTGAATGTTAGTCTCCTGGAGCTTGATCACATATGCCTCGTCTCCAATGGCTTGGTTGGCCGCGGTGTCTCCGCGAAACACGGGCGCTTCCTCGATCGCTGGCAGCATCTGCGGCAACGCGGGAGAGGCTGATGCTAAGTGAGCGTGGCGAGCCAAAGAAATACCGCAACTGTAGTAAGCCAGGTGTGCGATGTCGGTGCCTAGCTCTGTGTCCAGATCCCCCCTCTGTAGCAGTGTCCGTCACAGTACTTTCCCCGCCTACGTAGCCTACCACTTGTGCTCTGTGATGCCCCCACTCCCCTGCCAGTTCACCCTTCTGCAATCGTGTTGTGCCCTGCCCCGTCCTTGCAGTAATGCCCTCCCCGGTCACCTGCACGTACCCGTCGTAACTGTATAAACCAAAAAAACCGTCATAATTGTGCTGCCTGCCCCCCGTCGTATTCCAGTCAGTAGTAAGTTGCGCTGTTGATCTTAAACCCGTTTACCTCCACTGCCTCCTCGTCCTCCTGGACCCTCCGATTGATATCGTAACGCTTGGAGCCGCTCTGCTTGAAATCGCCCGGCGATTCCATACAGCTGCTTGCTGTTTCCGTCTTTTCCACTTTGGTCCGCTAATTCTTTTAGTTTTTTCCATCGATTCTGGATTACGGCTCGACATCTCTGCCAGCGTTTCCTCTCGAGACTGCGGAGCTGTCACTGGCAGGGCTAGCGTCTGAGGCGAGGGCACCACCGTGAAAGAGGCTGGGCGCGCTGGCGCCTTGGCGGGCCCTGTCGAACTGGACGCGCCCTGGCCGCTCTGGATGGGCGCTTCCGCATCGCTGGTCAGTCCATCTGCCCCTACGACCTCGACGCCTGCAACTGCTTCTCCACCTGCCGCTCCAGGTCGCTCTTGGGGCCGTGGCTCGTGCTGTAGACCCCGCCCAGCAGCTTCAGCGTGTAGCCCATCGCTTGCTTCAGGTAGGGAGGGTGGTAGTCGTCCAGCTCGTCCTTCTGATACCCCCCCCCCCCCCCGTCCTTCATGCTCTCTGGGTTCCCGTCCTCGTCCATCTCGAACTCGTCCTTCTCCTTGGGAATCCTCTCGACGCCCATGGCCGCCCTGATGCTCGGCATCGGGTTGATCGTGTACAGCAGCTTGCCCTTCCCGTTGCAGTCGTCTTCTTGACCCTTGGGCCTGTACGCTTCCGACATCTTGAACTGCTTCAGGGCCCCCAGCACGAGCTCTCGACCCCTCTCGTGGAACGCCAGGTTCAACCAGTGCTGGAGGACCTCGTAGCTCCACTGCAGAGTCCGATCCCCCCCCTTTGCTGATCGTCGCCGACAGAGCGTTGTTCATCTCGGAGATCGTAGCAACTGCGGCGCGGGCGTGAGGAGGGCCCATCGAGTGCTTCTTTCCCGCCGCTCTCACTTGCATGGCGTCGTCTTTTCCTGTTTGGATGGCCACTCGACACGGCGAACAGGAGATTGGGATCAGCCAGAAGTCCGAGTTGAGGTGTTGCTGTATCGTGCCATCATCGCCGTGCGCAGCGACAGCTTCTGCAAGTTGCTGATAGCTTGTCCGAGTTGGGTGTGGTGATCGTCTCCGTTGCCTCCTCCTTTCTGCGGCTGTGGTATGCGCGGTGGTTCGCCCCCTCCTGCCGCCGCCGCCCCGCTCGAGCCCCCGCCCTTGGCCTGCTGGGGGCCCCTTGCCCTCCTTCGTGACCCTCTCGTCTGACTGCTGGAGGTCTCCTCTGTCTGCCCTGCGCTTGAGGCCCAAAGTTGGCACGTCGAGCGGCCGCAGCCCCATGAGTTCGGCTGGCATTTCCTCTATGTGCCGCACCCTTCTTTGGTTCTCTCACCGAAGGGGCGCCTGGATGATGAGTCCTCGCGTGGGCGCGGTGCGCTGGCAGGTCTTGAGCATCGACATCACAGATCTTGCACTTCAAACTTGCTGGTGGGACAATTGGGTGGCTCCATTTGCTGCGGTCACGGTGACATATTCCATGTCCATCGGCGGCCCTCGTGGCGCGGTCGATTGCCGTGCGCCTGTCTGCAAAGGTACTTTCGCACCAAGGGCATTGGTTAGTCGCCACTAAACTGGCTACCAATGGTCGGATGTTGTGCAATTCCCTGCGATGCCCTATGAGTGCCGCTGTCGTCGCAAAACATTTCCCACATACCTTGGGATGTCCTTGCTCGTCCGTAACCACACAATCGCACCAATAAGGCTTTGTCACCTCCTCGTCTCCTTTCAACTCCTCGTCCTCCTCCACCCTTCACCTGGTCCCAAGTCAGTGCTGCGCTGCGGATAACCGTCACACCCATGTTTGTCCACTGTTGCCACGCCTGGGTCCCTGGGCAAAAGATCTCGAAATCCGAGGTCCGTTTGTCGTACCAAGCCTTCATTTCCTCCGCCACCTCAGCCAGTGCATCCAGGCCTGCTTTAAGTTGTAGGGCCAACGGGGTCGAAAAACAGCACACCCACTTGTGTGCCTGCAGCCTGCGAATGCGCCCCCTCTCGTCTAGTTTGGATTCGCCAAACGCTGCAGCAATAACACGTGCGTGCTCGTGGGGGTACAACGCCCAGTTTCTGTGCAACTTTAATCGCCTGGTCCTGAGGGCTGTGGCACTCCTTCCTATCCCCCATTCTTTGAACACCCGTGCTGTCGGATAGCAACGGACCCCACCTGATTCGAGCTGCCAACTCATCCGTCCCACTGCAAGTCTGCGCAAGTTCTTCCCAATCGCAGCATCGATGGCATCCGCAAGGGCAGCTGGGAGAACGAAAGCCGCCATGCCGCTCCATGCGGCCCCCAAGACGAAAGCAATGAACATGGTGCGCTTGATGGGGCCAGGGGTGTCTGAGCTCCAAAAACAGCCGCATTGCCTCCAGGCCACTCTCATGGCTGAAATCCGCCTGCGCACTCCCCCCCCCCCCCCCCAGCACCTGGTCGGATGGGAGGTAAGGTCCAAGGACTCTCATCTCTCGTAGCGCTTCCCCCTCTAGTTCAGTGGACCGTCTGAGCTGCCTTGTCACTGTGTAGCTCCCAGGGCCACAGATGCACAAGGTGGTCGGTTTTGCCTTGGTTCAACCTCCATCCGCCCTTGCCAATTGTCTGTTCCAGTCTAGTCGTGGCTCCATTCAGCTGTTCTGTCACCGCGCTGGTCGTTGCTCCCTGTTGCTCCCAGGGCGCGTCACATCGTCCATGAACGTGTTCAGTGTCAAGTCGTGCCAAGTGCCAATCACAGGATTCCGTGTGTCGTGCCACGTTGGGTGTATATCCCTGTCTCTTTCCGGCTGAAACCACTTGTCTACATACAAGTTGTAGACTTCGTTGAACTGGCGCGGGCACAGTGTGAAACCCATCTGGGCCCCCACCGTCGTCTCTGCGTGCAGCCACTCATCTGCGCAACGCATGCTGAGCTGTGTGTTGCAAATAGCTCCTGAGGCGAATGGCTGGTCTGCCTCGATCGCATGTTTCCATGCCGTCGCCTGGAGGGGCTCCTGCTTCGTACTGGCAGAAGCGCTGTTGCAATCGTAGTTTGTGCACAATACTCACCCCCCCTCCCCTAGCCCTCCACTGCACAGCCTGTATGCAGAGAATCGCACGTTCGCGGCTCCTGCGCGCCAGGCCTCCTTGGGCCCATGGGGGGGTGGCTGGGTTGAGGGCCCCTTTTGTGTATACCCCAATGCCACGCCATACTCATAGAGTCGTATGCATGCATGATGCGTTTCCCTCCGACGCCTGGTTTCCCATTGTTTTTATCCGCATCACAGGAACTAGAACGATGCCACGCCAGGGGAGCCACCTGCGATGTCCTGCATTTCATCAACAGCTGATCCAGAAGCTGCTGGAACAAATGCGGTCCCTCTTCGTCGTTCCTGCGCAATTTGGCCGCGCCCAATCCCCCTCTCTGGTCGGTCCACAAAGTACGGTGTCACTTCGCAAGCGTCCAACTCTGCGCCGTCCAATTTCCCACCCGTACTGCCCAGTCTCTCCCCGCTATTCCATCCCATCCTTTCCAAAATTCTTCTACCTACTCGATAACGAAACAGTGTCTGTACTTGCTCAGATCCTCCTCGTCCTCTCCCCCCTCAGCTGCACGAATCCCACTGGCTTCAATCTGGCGGCTCAAGAGCTCTGGGTGCTCAAGGTGCGTCGAGGGATCCAGGATCATCCAAGTAAGTTCCACAGGGGTCCCCCAATCTAGGCCAGGCCCGTCGTTTCGCCGCCTTTTTACAGCATTTCAGCATCCAGCCCTTGCCCAACAGCATGAGAGCCATGGCCTCCGTATCTTCTGGCAAAGGTAGCTGCTCTTCGATTATCTCCCGTTGCTCACTAACGTACTCGTCCACGTCGATCTCCTGTGCTGCTAGTCCTCCTTCCTTAGGTCTCTTCCCAAGTTCTCGAAGCCATTCCCCTTTCGGCCAGTGTGTTCTAGCTGACTGAAAATATCGCTTCTTTGGGCCTCTGCCGTTTCGCTGGTACTGGATACCTAGTCTGTGCATGGTGCTGAAATCGTTTCTCTGATGGGCTTCCCAGATTTCCTCCACAAGTTTAGCTCTTCTCGCCTTCTCGGCGTCTTGCCTCAAGACCTTCAGTAGGGCCGTCATCTCCGAGAGTTCCTGTTGTGTCTGCACAAGTTGTTCGTCGGACTCGCCATCTACCATTCTCTCTCTTAGGGCCCTCCTTTCTGCTAACAGTGCCATCCGTCGCTCTCGCACCACTTCCGTAGTCGAATCCAAATCTTTCTGCCCCTGTCGGAAGCAGGTGCCCAGCGCCCTCCGAGCTGCTCCACTCCACAGGTCCCACAGATTGTCGGACGTCCCCCCCTGCTTCGCCTGCTCCCACTCTTCCTGCAGCCCCTCCATCTCCCTCTCCAGAGCAGCAAAACGGTCGGGGCGCGCTGTGCCTCTGCGGAGGCATTCCATCAGCTTGTCCCGATCCGGGGGGGGCTCCCGTTCCCTTCGCACCGACGCAAAACTGTTCCTGCCCGATACATCTAGGACGATGCCTATGGGGATGTGGTCTCTGTGTCCTCTCTTCCGTATCAGCTGCAGCCTCTTCGCCGACGTGCGCAACGCTACGCAGCGAGACACCAAAGGAAGGGCCGAGACTGGAATAGCAATGTGGTCGATTGTGCTGGAGCCTCCCTTCGGGGAATCGTAGGTCGGGCCCACATCGTAATACGTTGTAGCCACTGCTCGGTGGGAACCTGTACACATCTCCATGACATACTGCCCGTTCTCGTTTTCCAGAAAGTGGTGCTTTGGTCCCGTCGTAGCTCCTCTGTCAGCAGTGGCCACTCCGTCTGGTCCTCTATGCAAGCCTAGCTGACTGTTGATACCTCCCCCCACCACTACTGTGCAGCGAGCCCCCAACCCGTCGCACTGGTTCTCTACCCATCCCGTCACTTTTTTTGCTATCGTGGAGAAGGGCTGGCAGTGGATGGGGGCGAGGTAAACGCTATAAAAAACAGAAGTCCACTTCTCTTGACCAGATACGCAGGCCCCCCACTCGACCTTGGATCTCGGCTGGGGGACATCAGTGCTTCGTAAGGACGTCGGGTGTATATGGTGAGCTACTAGAATAGC